TTTTGAAAATACTTTGAAATATAGTTTTATTACCCACTTCTTGTATTAATCACACCTCTCGCAAACTGTAAGTACGAGATACTAAAGCAACAAAAATGTTCAAAATCTTAATAATTGGCTCCCTGAAGTACAGCTTGTGTAATTCCAAGATGAAATAAGAGTATAGGTTATATGAACAGACAAAAGCATTGCCTAATTACACATCTATATGATCTTTCCAGATTAAACTAGCATGTCAACATATCATATAGTGTCGCAAAACATGTTTATATGTTTGAAAAAGTTGATGTTGATTTATTGCAGACACCATTACAGAATGTGTCGGTCATTCACATCTAAACCATCCACGTTCGATTTCACATCATAAGCATAACCATATGTCATTGTCACGAAACAGTAAGTATTATGTCACATCTAAAGATTACTTAAACAGCAAACACTTTTAGCTACATCCATTAGTAAGCAGAAATATAATGTCATTGATATTTGCTGTTTAATCATTTAGATTTTTTGTAACCATAGCAATATTGTCATTGTGCTAAGATATGAGATACAAACGGTAGGGACGTTTTTTTAATACTAAAAATCTCTTCAATAAATCAAAATATAATATGCATAAATAAGAAAGTGGAATGAAGTGGTGAATCGTAAGAATTTCAAAACTAAAAGCGTCTACCAGTTCGAACTCATTTCTGCCTTATGATGCAACTGGTGAATATATTGATGTGTCTAGAAATCTGTTAATACTATGTAAGCAAGACGTGCTTGCATCATTCCGTGATCATCTTTCCAAATTGTCGTGTATAGCCCGACACTTGCTATAAAGAAGACATATTACAGACACTTTCTTTCAGTTAAATCACGTGTACGAGTAATGATCATTTGGCATTCATCACAGGGAATGTATAATGAAAATCGAAACCAGTGACAATATTCGGAGCGGATGTTGTTTAAGTTGGCGTGATTGATTGCTGTGTTTGTCATTGAATCTCCTTAAAAACAAACTGTAAATCAGCCAAAAACATGACCAGAGGAGACCACGGTCGATATCTCGTGCTTTGGTGGTACAATTAGTCCTCGTTTGTCGTTACACTGTCATATCGATCTATGTGTATAGAATACGTCGATATTTTTTTTAATATGAATCGACACATTCTATCAGACGAGCTGGTGGCAGTTTCTATTCTACTACGTTTTGCTGATAACCTATAGACTTTCCAAAGTAGCCTACAATTCAATAAAGCGCTGTAAAGTTTCTTTAAAAGATGGGCGAAAGGTGAGATAGATGAACGACAGTTAACCGTCCATTCAATATACTTGGTAACACATAAAGGCCACACGTGTGTTATCCTTATATAAGCTATACTCAAGGGTGGGTTAAATGTGCTGATTGTTGATTTAGAATCGAACCACATATGTACACATAGCTGCAAACCATCACTCATCACTGCGTGTCGGGAAATCTTTAATTTGCTACTGATATCCATGATCTCCAACAAAAAAACAGTCGGAAGGTTTTGATAACCATGAATAAATAAAATAACGACGAAAAGCCGCACACTCGGCGCCTCTATGGATGAATTAATCTGGTGAAACTCGCAGACGGATAATCGAATTTACAAAACATATGAATCTGATCCCCAAAATGACCTGTCACCTTATGTCGCAAAATCGCGTTGACTAAATTACGTTGATTATTTGTCATGGGGCAGTATATAGTTAAGCACATACGAACCGAGAACGAGAGCATGGTGTTAAAAAGCACACAAATTATTGCGGTAGAAACACTACTGACTTGTTAGGTCATCTATAATGAAGTGCATATATAATGAAACAACTTAAAAAGACATTTTGTTCTGTCATGTAAATTATCGTGGATTTCCTAAGGTGGAAGATGGATATATACTATTATTATACATCTGTCACCGTAACGCCGTATGTTACAGCGTGCCGTAATTTTGCGGTATTTTACGGGGTATTTTCATCCTACCAATGATTTCGCGCGCAAGCGTTCTCTAATAATAAAAACAAACATGGCTGCCACCAGGGTTTAACCGGACTCCGCACAAAAAGTTCGCTGATTCTGTTTTAAACATTTTGGATTTCGGCATTCCAATGATATATCATTGGAAAGAAAAGATGTATAATAATAATAAAGTTATTATGAGCATACTTCGAAGTATGCACTCAGACAGCACACCGTCGCACCGACCTCCACTGCATGTCGGTTGGTACTTCGGTTGTATTGTCTTCGTGCATACTTTGAGGTATCCTCGTAATAACCTCATATTATACACTAAATGAATTTATCATGCATGAAACGTTCGTATTGTTCTATATCAAGAATTTGATCCGTATTCGTCAAATACGAGCAATATTTGTAATGTTTGGCCTGAACTATCTACTTGGTATCTTGACGTACGTAAATACATTTGATCCATTTTGATGCAGGCATTTCATTTTCGTGCAGGTATATCCCAAAACGCAATCCACGTACATACAGATTTTGTTAGATATAATTCACCTGTTTAGGTGTAAAAAGTGCTATGGTTTCCATCGTTCGACTCGCATGTATTATCATGTAATAACTTCTAAATATTACAAACATATACTGATGAATACGGCGTCGGGTGTAGACATTTTAGTTTGGTTGTCTACGGTTTTAGGAAGTGCAGCCGTCTAACCGTGCATAACAGTCAATGCTTAGGGCGAAACATTTGATTATATCTAACTTCCACGTGGGAATCACTTCAAAATGATTTCATCCTCTTATGTATTAACCTGTGACGTCATATAGGCGTACTCCACACTTACAATATCTGCACGTATTAATCTCTGAGATATAACAATTTTGCCTAAAAACAAACACTATGGTTTTCTAACGTGGTGTTGCAAATATAATGAGTATATCTTATTATCAGTATGTACATTTGTATTTTTCAATTTTTAAAACTTTTTAAACTGAATATTATGTTGCCTTTTGGTGAACCTTTCAACAGATACCCAATTTCTTGATTTGTATAGACTCGCAAAATAGTATTATAGTCGGAGAACGAAATATTAGAATTAGTTACAATGGATGTGAACCTTGCTTCAACCTCTGTGTTGTCATTCAATATACGTTTTCGCATATAGTAACGGAGTGTTAGTGAATATAGTCTGTCTACGCAACGATGTGCTTATACCGGTAATGATTATACGAGGCGCACCCAACAACCGATGTATTAGAGTGTTGTTATATATAATATATTTGTAGTGACTGGTAACAGTTTCATTTTAGCCTCATATATAGGGGAAAGGGCAATGTAACGAAAATGATTTAAATTAATCGAAGCTTTTTAATAAGACCTTGACGAGGCTTAATTTTCATTATTTCGTCTTCACTAACATACACCATATTACACGCACGATATAACACAATGTCATACACATAGCAACACCAGTTACATAAAATTTGCATGTCTAGAATTCGGACAATGTACATAATCCGTTTATTTTTAACAACTGACAAATCAAAGAAATGTTATGTTACATTCAAAATAAACACAAAGCCAGAGAAAGACACAAGTGATATTCTGTTTCTTATTCGATATGTTGATTTCGGAAATATACATAGCTAGGTATATATAACAGTGTGTTCCACTCTAAGTAAACAAGTATCCGACCAACTAACTAAACTAACTATTGAATCATTCAATCAATTAACTAATGAAAATACATATATTCACAAATAGACTCTGTTTATTGACACATTGTCAATTATTCGCTTTGGTTTGATATGCTAACTTCATTTCAGAAACTGTGATACTGCCCTTTAGATGACAACATAACTGCAGCAAAATCATAATGTTCTTGGCTATTATTGAATAAAAAACAAATTAGTGGGTTAAAACCCGCCTATGCATATATAAATCTATCTAAGAACCCTCCAACATACGTTCTACCATTATGCTGATCTTTATGCAAACATAAACTGCTTATATATCGTCGTCCAAGTTTGCTTTTGTTTTGGTGGCCAAATTATCACATTATCATATTGTATATTACAAAAATACATTACATAAATTAATAATCCAGTTAAGAGAAACTGATAGTTATCCACCCTATGCTCTCCGTAAATATTTTACAGTAATGTTAAAAAAAATACAGTATTTATTTTTCTGGTCTAGTCTGGTGTGATTTATTGTATGTCTCATAACATGTATATTCACATATAATGGCGTTTTAATATAAAGGCGATTATTGTGAATATATTTAAGATTCCCTTGCCTAATACATAGCAAAATAAAGACATACATTTAGTAGAGTAATCGTGAAACAAATAATTAGAATAAGGTAATCAGAAAACTGGGTCAGCATGGCAGTACATACGTTATTAAATATCATTATGTTATTACACTAAAGATTACACGGGATATAGCTCAATCACGGACATACACGTATTCAATCGGATATTCTTCATTCCAATTTTATACGCTCTTTTTAATGCAAAAAAATAACAACACGATGCGAGCACCGTATAAGATTAAAACGCAGTTTGAGCATGTGGTAGACACGGGGTACAATCTGAGCATCTTTGACTTTTTATGTTATAACTGGACAACTGAATCAAATACAAGCTGTGTTACTAAGGGATCTAGTTGTATCCAAATGACTGCTTGCACCATAACCCATTTATAAAAACTGAATACTCAAAGTACCCCTTCTCTTACCCTTAATTCAGATTCGTTAAAGACAGTAAGGTGAACACAACATTTGCTTTTTAGAGATTTACAATGTGACGAAAAACATAAGCGAGCATATCAACCAGAAGCGTAGATATGCATATTTCATAATCGACAGTAACCAATCAAAATACATATTTGACTAGAAACCGGTTCATATTATGAATTCGTGATTAAGGTGCAATGATGTTTCCAGCCAACGATATTTTTAAACAAAATATTGAAATAATTAATTTTAAGACTTGAGATCACGGACACTGTCATGAAAATATGTTGTTAAAATTCCGGAACTGGCATTCCCATGAACAGCTTTCCAGACAATGCAGCTGCAGTCTTGGAAGGTCGGCCACGTCTGAAAGCAGTAAGTTTACCAGGATAATATTTTCTGCGACTTGCGGAACGCTGTTGGACATGGTTGAGTACTGGCAATCCGCTCATTGTTGATCGCTTTGACGGTTTGTGGCGATAATTGCGAGCTCCGGCTGCTAAAGGCATTCCAGCATAAACCTTTCCTCGACTGAATAAGTGGGCCAGATTTTCTCGTTTGACGATACTGTTTGCTTCATGTGCATCATCACTGCTATCCACATCATCGAATAAAGAACGTCGGTCTCGGTCGTTGGGGTCAACAATGGCGTAAGCCGAACGGCCGGATTTAGATGGCATACCGAAGAAAGCTTTTCGTTCCTGCATTTGTATTTCTTCATCTGTTATTCCTCGTCCTTCAACGGAGGGCATGCCAAAAAATGACTTCCGTTTTTCCACATCATTATCGTCTACGTGCGTGATGTAGTTGTACAACTCTTCCATATCTACTGACCTTGAAATCCTAGCAGGCACCCCAAAGAAACTTTTTGAAGCACGTTCATCAATTGTAATATCCTCACCTCGTCCTTCTCTGGATGGAATACCGAAAAAAGCCTTTCTTTTCTCAGAGTCCGGTCTGTCGTCACTATCTTCGTTATCAGTTGAACGCCCTTCCAGTGATGGTAAGCCAAAAAATGATTTTCTTTCTGATATCACCGTTCCGTCTGCATCGTCTTTGTAAGCCCGACCTGCAACAGATGGTAAACCAAAAAACGATTTTCGTTCTTCTTTTACAGCTATATCCTCATCTGTGTCATCATAGGCCCTTCCTGCTATCTCTGGCATACCGAAAAAAGATTTCCTTTCTTCTCTCACAGTATCCTCGCCATCATCACCGTCATCGCCAATGTCATCATCATCATCATCAAATTCATCATATGAGCGACCTGCTACTAATGGCATGCCAAAGAATGTTTTCCTTTCTTCTCTCACAGTTTCATCACCGACGTCATTGAAAGAACGCCCGGTTATATCAGGCATACCAAAAAATGACTTCCTCTCAGATCTAACAGTGCCGTCATCCTCCTGGTCAACATAAGACCGACCAGAGAACTGCGGGATACCAAAAAATGACTTTCTCTTCTGAGCCGGAGCCCGATATGGACGAATTGGCATACCAAAGAATGTCTTGGTACCCCTATTCTGGCGCATTGGCATTCCAAAGAATGTTTTTACCCCTTTCTTCTCAGCATCTCTTCCCTCTCTCATTGGCATCCCGAAAAAGGATTTGCTACCCCTTTTACTTTCATCTTCACTGGTGCGCTGCTCTTTATCAATCACAAGTGAGTCTGATTCCTCGCTGCATATATTAACATCTTCCTGCTCGTTCCCAGTGATTTGAGAAGGGTGTATACAGTCATTTTCCCCCTATTAGTAAAAAATGAAATATATTAGAACATATTATCATGTTGAATGTGTGACATCTGAGAATTTGTCAATGACATGAGAATTGTAGAAATATCATTCCCAGTCATAGAACATAAGTCATATAGTGAAAGTCCAATGACACAAAACAAATGACTGACAGTGGTCGAAAATATAATCTACAAGAACAAATCAAATAACGGACATTATTTAAACAACATAGTCAAATCAGTAAGAGAAAAATGGACCCTGTGGTGTACATAAATTTAATTCAGGTGGTGTCTTCTTCACTAGTGGCACCCGTCATATATAAAACGGTTTCTGTTTGAAACCTGCGGATCATTTGTGTAAATTGGGATTATTAATAGAAAGTATATATCCAAATATATCCAAATGTGAAGGGAGTTCGGCTTTCTTGTACTGTATTTTTTTGTAGACATTTAGCTACAACCGAATGCCAGCAAGAAGGTAGTTCCCATTGAATAAAAAAGTATACTGACAATGTCGTCGGTAGTGTATAAAAGGTGTGCGTCAGTTCTGGTCTTAACAAAGTAAGGAGAATTGTAACATAACAATGTATTTGTAGCGACTAGAATTATTTGAAATAAACTATGCTTGATGTAACTTTAATTTATCATGTGGTATATTAGTATGTTAGAATGAACGACCAAACGTGTTAATTGAAGTCACATTTTAAAACAGTAAAGGTTACATTCTTATATAATAGAAACATGACAAATGTCACCATATTACCATGGGAACAGAAACAATCACAATGCATATACATTATGTGGAATTTGATTTATTAATCCTGTAAAATCGAGGTAAAATAAGGATTCGAAATAAAGGCATGTATTTGATGGTTCATCCGTTGCGCTTCCGGTAACAAGTTCAAACTGTATTGAGCTGTTTGGATTTGAAAATCTTTAATTCATAAAGATAGTTGGCTTGAATGCTGTTTAATGAGAACACAGAATGCATATTGAATTATAGAAGATAATTAGTATAAGTAATAAAAGTAATACTGTCGGTTATTTATGTGTAAAATAGAACTTTCTGTATTAAAGTCAAAGACGATTAGCACCAAAAAACATTAGCTTAGATTATAGCCCCCAGGTATATCAAATCTCTTGGCATGACTTTGTAGACTACAGTGGTTTGTTATTGAGGTATTTTACATGACATTGCACTTAAGTTTGGGACTGTATCTTTCATTTAAGTATTGTAAGTTATTCTCTATGACTGGCTGTTTGAAATTCCAGAGAAAAAACTTGGGATACACAAACTAGTTTTCAAAATGAGCATCTCAATCTTCAGGTAAAATGGCTACCCAAGCCCTATGAGAAAAATCACAGAGGCAGCGTTTGCATGGATGCCCCTTATTTTATTATTTTTATTTATTGTTTTGTTGATGGAACTCGGTCAACTATAAATGACTGCGCTTTGCCTGTTCTTGCTTTAAATACTAAACAGGGTATGTGGGTGAGGATTAAATGATGTAGTTCATGCTGTGGTAGAACATATACGTATGTAAAACTTTCTGGGTGGAAGATAAAACGTTGAGTTTGCAGTAATGCAGGGTGTCTTTCCGTTTAGTTGTAATGTCATGCAATCATTTACTTGTCTGACGTTGATCAGCATTGACTGAAAATATAAAATGTACTCATTGGTCATGCATCGATTGCAGACAACTGTACCACTCGCTATACATAGGGGACAGATGTTGCTTGATCCAGTTACGTGTGTTACGGTTGCTTGTAGCTGAATGGCTTCGAGGGAAATAGATTTACTTGGTTTATTCAGAAGGGCTAGCTTGATTGACTTGACCTTTCATTTATGGGTTATTTATTATTTCATCAATACAAATAAGATGTAATAGAAATGATGGTAATGTTACATGACTTTTAAGGTCCACTGTGTGGTGTGATATTCTAAGCCTAAGGTATACGCGATGCACGAGAAGCCAATTGCAATGATATATTAGTTCACTCTACTACAACAGGTTAAACGCCAAACTACATCATCGTTTCTGAATATGCAAATGATCAAGTGAAGTCCCAACACACACCAAACACAAATATCGCAATGCAAAGCAGTCAATGGAGTTGTAAGGAGATATCTCGTCACAAATCACATTCTCCAATTGAAATCAGGGAAGGATATTATCTTCTGAGTCTCGTGCGGATATACTTAAATAGGTAGTACATCTCATGCAGTCAAAATGAATAACAGGTTGTTCGTTTAACTGAGGTATTGAACTTTATAATTCGATTGAAAATCTACATATTACTTTATATGTTTCACAACATAATGTTGTTGAAAAACTAATCATCACAATTTGAGAAATAGTATCACGTTGAAAGGATTACTTTTCATGATGAAATTTGAAGGAAAAAAATGACTCGAGATAACAACTGCACGTTTACGTGTTGTTGGTTGTCCGATAATTTAATACTTGAAAACCATTCTTAAATATTAGTTTCATATCAATGGTTTACCGCTTAGCGAAACATGATTCAGCTTATATTCTTATCTCCTGTTCAACGAAGACAAAACAATTCGTTGTACGATGTGTTTTGGAATTCTAAATATTGAACTGCGTCGATGCTGGTGAACAGAAACTAATAGACGTTTTGTGACTGTGTTTCCGGCTGTTTAGAGAAATTGAAAGGTGAATTTAGTGTGAATAGCACTTCCCCCATCACGTGGAATTATCTCGAGTGGATGTTCGTAGGCGTTTTAATGAAAATGAACATGATCGTACAGTAACAAACTTAGTACAGGATAACCAACACCAGTTTGACCTTCCAATTGGTCTCATTTGCATTATATATAGATAATTGGCGTTTAAGAGTTAAAGCCAGTTGGATTTTTATAAATGCAGACCACGAAGAGACGACGATAAGTACACGGTAGGTGCTATAGCATAAACGGTTGTGTTTGACTTGCCGTGAACGAAGGTGTTTGTCTATATAGCATGTCAATATAACAAACCCCTGGGGCTTGCCTATTAACGGCATAAGGAGAACTATTAGAGTGGCTATTGACACATCAACAACGTATTTACAAGATACTTCTATTACAAATCACTCCGTGCATCACTGGCATAATAAGCGATACGAGGTCAATGAAGCGGCTCCATCGGAGGTTATTTTTAAAGTGTAGTTTTGTGAGAGAATAATAATTAGTTTGGATGTTATTAGAAAAACAAATACACCACGTCGACTATATGTGGGGAATCATGAATAGGAGTTGTATTGAACGAAAATAAATAAATAAATAAATTTTACACACAGTGTTACTTGTGGTCTATAATATCTTATCATTCTCATCACATAGTATCGGTGTAAATGCCGAGTTCGCATAATCAACTTAACAGTCACACGATACTCGGATGAGACAGCGCGCAAGTTCCGACTTAAATGTCGAAGGCAGATAATCGATTTATATGTACTGCTCCTTTAATTTGATGTTAGTTATCCTTAGCATTGGATGCGATCTGCTAAGTTCGAAATCAGTTGAATGACCATAGCAGGTGCTTCAATTCGAACATACCTCCAACCCATCAGCAACATTGTTGGTATCATTCATATACAGAGATTTTTACATCAAATAATGCAGAATTTGGGCAAAAAATAAGTATCATGTGTTGATTCTATGTGACATCGAGCTAAATGTTTGTATTACATGACCTCTTGCATTTCCCAGAACGCCTTTCTCGCTAGCCTCCCAAGGGAGTTTGTTGTCAAAATTCAGCGTAACAATGTAGTTTTGAACACATCTACTGAGTAAGGTTCACTCTAGCAGAGTCATAATCACGACGGCACCTGGCGAGCACGTTCGTCGGAAACTTCTGACAAAGCCGGAGGTCATGGTAACGACGGAGGAACGTGCATACTGGAGCCTCAACAGCACGTCCAGTTGTCACTTCACGTTGGAAACGGCTCCGAGTGACGATTTTACTGAAGGATGGCGACTCTGAAGATATGGTGGAATTTTGTTATTTGGGAAATGTGCCTGGGGGATCAGGCAGGATGCTGAATTCCATGGACACATAGAGACGAGTATCTCATAAATCAAACGAACACCGCTTCTCAATACACAGAGTGAAATAACATTAGTTCCATGTGCTTGGTTAACGTGGCAATCATTTGCCTGGATCGCACCAGAAATTTCATTCAAGAGCTACAATTTAATCGGAAATTTAAACAATGGTTTATCAGAGACCAATTTGCTGGAACTCCGTGTCGTTTTTCGGTTAGAATAATTCATTCTACCATATTGTTCATCTTCGTTATGTGTCTCTGTATATATTAATCTTGCGACAATTTATCACCCTATATGTATATATATTACGACCATTGATTACCGGACCAAATAATAATCTGGCGTTGTGAACACCATATATGTATTACCGGGCCGGAAATGTGTTTGTGATTTCCTCCTTCTGCTTTACTAAACGACCTTGTAACCCACACTATAATTTAAAATAACACAATTTGGTATAGGTTGCCAATGGCAAATATGACTCATTATGTCACTTAGCATCCTTGTTTTAAACAAATCTAATGGATGATTATACAGTAAATCTAGACGCGGAGGTTCACATTGACGTTAATTACTGTTTATAAATTTGTCCTTGATACTAAACACAATGTATGCTCAAATGCTCAAATTACTTATTCTGGGTCATGATTTATCTTTAGATTATTTGTTAATAATGCTTATATTGCTATCAGGTAATGTGAACCACGACATCAAATGCAAGTTTTTTTGTATTTTAGTATATATTTGCATATATTTTGCATAATTAATTATTATGTTTTCTTTGTACTAGTACTTTGGTTGATAAAGATTTAATGATATCCCCTGACATGCGGTTAATTTATTAACACATCAATTTATGGTAGAGCCACTTATAATTATTATTATAATTATAAGTTTTCTTCAGGCCGTTTGATTATGACAGCAATTCATGAATGATTAAAGAGCGCATGCGTGGT